GGGGCTTAAGGCAGCGGCCCAGGGACATCCAAAGAGCGTATGAGGGCCTGAGCGAAGGCTCGCTCGCGACGTGCGAGGGTGGGGAGCGCATCGGCCCAAGACGCCCAGTAAGCTGCAGTCACCTTTCTTGTAGATCGAAGCGACCATTGCCTGTAAGTCTTCAGGTTGCATGTGCAGCCTCTAATACAACTAGTCGGTTTGCGCATTTTAGCTATTTGAACAGCTCAACACTTACACCGTCAGCACCTGGTGATTTGTTTCGTTTCAGTTTCGACAATAGGGTGATTTTTTCCAGTTGGGCCAAAACGTGTGCTTTTCTATCTAGCTTGCCCTCATTTTTGATATCACGATTTAACATTTTTCTGCTGTCTAGGACGCCTTGGGAGAGAGGACTTCGCTTGTGATGTACGGACATCATTAATTTCTTGGAATCCAAGGGAGCTACGTCCTTGCTGCGCGACCCGATCCGATCCGAAAGCCGTTGGTCAAAGTCTATAAGCTGCTGCTGAGAAGGATTCCAGTAGCGTGGAGCTGTAGAGACGACTTCGCGCTTTTTGCTTTTCAGATTGAACCGGATATCAGCAAGAAGAAGCTTGTGATCTGTATCCATTGTGTGGACGTGCGAGGTGAAAACATTGGTCACTGAAATGTCATTGATCAAGATAATGTCCATCTGGGCATATTTGTGGAGGGTCAATGGCGGCAAGTTATATGTGATAAGTTGCTCATCGGGTTTGTGGAAGGTGGTGTTTTTGACTACCATCTTCTTCTCGAGACACAACTCAATAAATCTAGCTCTGTTGTTTAGTTGTGCCTGGCTCAGAGATCAAGATCCGCCCAAGATGCACCAAAAGTGAAGGGGCCGATAGAACCGGTTTCATGAGGGAGCGCTTTGACGATTTGAAATCTCCAAGCATGAGTTTTGGGAAACAAGCATACTGCAATTCCATCAAGTCTGCGGGCAAAGCATTGGCCTAGGCGCGGCCCAGCATGCTTCTGCTGCGGAGACGGCGTCGTCGTGGCCTCGCGCATAGCCAGGAAAGGTCGGATGGGAGGGTGCGCAGCAAGTGGTCGGCACGCGGCGAAGCACACATGGCCAGCAGAAGCCACGCACACTGGAGGTGAAGCACCATGGGGAGTTCATGCAGAAGCCGTGCCTCCTCAAGCAAGCGAGCATCTGTGGGCTCGGTGCGACGACGAGAGTCTTGTCCTTGAACGACGACCGTCGTGGTCAAAAGATGAAATACTACTAGATCCATCAAGACGGTTGTACACCTGCACAAATACCAACTACACCATCTACCTACTCACAGCTGTCCGACGCAGAGTGTCTGGAGCATCAGATTTCGCATGCCTCAACAACGCATACATTGCTCGCAATCTCGCGGGCACGGTTGGTGATTGCGCAGATGCTAAACAGCGTTGACAATTTGTTCAATTCGCGCGCGGTTTTTTTACGTCAGCATAGCCGAGTCCCTGTACAACCTGCGTGCTACGGGCCAAGGAAGCTTGCGCAACCCTGCCCGGCCGCGGGGAGCGCAGGGCGGCAGGAGCAATTGGGCTCGGAGGCGCGGCGGTTGAGTGACCAGGCGAAGCGATTCGGCACATCTCGCACTTCATCGCCCGCCAACTTCGCATGCGAGCACGCATAACTTGAGCAGTTGCCCTGGTCGGGCTCGAGAACGCCACCTCTCTCGCAAAGCACGATGCGCACGAATCCACGCTGGGTCTCGTTTGCGTCTCCACGCCACGCGCCTGCCCCACTTGCGGCGATGCCTGGGGGAGCTGTCCCTCCAACACGCTTGTACACCCAGATCTTGCCAAGATTAGTGCCCACGCCTGCTCGTGTTTCGATGGAGCTGAAGACGATATCGAGTGCCTCGCGCGCCCGTGACGAGGAGCGACCGGGCATCGCCCGCAAACTTCGCAGGCGAGGATGCATAGTCGTTGTGGTCCGCGAGTCAGAGGGGAAATGAGTGTGACATAATGTGACATTGCAACACAACGCCTCGTTCTGCACGTGAGTAGGCTTTACCAGTGGTGGCATCAAGGGCGAATTGAGAGAGGAGGCTGTTAGCAAGGAAGCCTTTGATGCACCTTCGCATCAGGGACCGGGACGTCGGGATTGGGCAACCGCCGCACGCTTGAGGATATGCACTGGCACTCGCGACAGGACATCCTGCGCTGCAGACGTGTTACTCTTTCAACGCAAGCAACGGCCTGGGGCCAGAGTAACACCAATGTTTGAGAAGAGGACCACGTGCCAGGGGTAGCGACACGTCATGCGAATCTACTCTACTGCAGGATAAGACTCACTCGAGCGTGGCGGAGTCTTGCTATAACCATGCAAAAATGAAAACACATTCCCGCACATTGGCGTTTTCAGGCCGGCAAATGCCAAACAGTTTTTTGCCTTCCAGTGGGTCAATCAGAGTGTCATGGACACGTTGCCAGTGATGTGTTTGCTCAGAATAGTCGAGGCAGCCCACCGAATGCTCAGAGGTGTTGCGACATTCGTTTGCAAGGATTGAAACTAGTTAGTGCCGAATGACGATCTACGTAATCGGGTTGAAACAACACGTATGCACTGGGCTAAAGCATTGAATGGTAGAGGAGAGGGGCCCACATTATGCGACGCCGCAACCAGGGTCCCCTTGCTTGTCTGGTTAAACCAAGTGCGTGGTGGCCGGGAGAGGCGCCGACTGCCACCTCTAGTTTAAGTACATCAGGTTCCAAGATGACAGCTAACATAACTAACAACATGCATCGCGTGAAGGAGCGGGTGAACACGGCTTTACAACAGCACCCAAGATGTCCCAGTCGCATTCTTGGCCAGTGCTCGATGGCGACCGACACGGACAAAAGGATGGTGGTACAGATTCGCTGTCGTGCCGAGCAAGGAATGTCATTTCTCCGGTGTGCTTTCGTGTTTGTGCTAACGGCCCTTCGGCTTGCAGGCCAGCCCCTTCCCGGCGGGATCACCAAGAAAGCTCGACTCTTCGAGCAGATTGTAGATGTCGAGGATGGCATGTGGCAAAGGGCCTTAGGCGGAACCTGCCACACCTGTTCAGCAGATGCTCGGAAATATCCAAGGCCTCATGCAGAGTCTGAGTTCAGACAGGCTGGCGAATCGTTAGCATCGGGAGCCCATCGGGGCCCAAGAAAGTGAGTTGGGGGGCCAGGATAGTCCAGGACAAGTGGTACTGGTTTACACCACGGGCGTTGTGCAAAGCAAGCCGCTAGCTGGGTCTAGCTGATGGTAAAGGGACTGGTCTGAGGGGTCAACAAACGAAATCTGTGGAGTCTCCGCCCCAGAAGATGGATAAGGCGAAGTGCTGCTTGTGTTGGGAGAACCGACAACCACACAGTGATCAACATGGTGTGCAGTGAGATTCAGTGAATTCAGTGTGTGTTGGCTTCCAAGGGACCGTTTCGGCACAATGTCACCGCAACCATGACCAAACTGAACGACGGCTAGTCGACAGGTCCGCCCGTTCGCTTGATTGTTTGCGCGCTTTCAGCTGTCAAGTTTTTTCCCTGCAGCATCTGTACCAAGGTTTATATTTAAGCACACCCCCATGCAGCTAGAGCACAGTTGGAGTGTGGTGCTCCCCCGAAGCACTGAAGGAAGCCTGTCTCTCTCCCTCTTGCCTGCACGCAGACAAGAGTGGGCGGTCCCACTCCGCGCACGAGTGCGCACTGGTCTCAGTCCGAAGTGAAAGTTTCTCCCCGGTTGGTGCAAGGCGCTGGTTGAGAACCGTAGCACCCCCACCCTGTACTTTAACCTAGGAACCTCCCTCTCGCGCCTTGTCCCACCAACAGGGATCTGTGCTACCACGGTAGGAGTTCAAAAGCACTGGCAGGCTCTGTGGCCCCCCTCGCAACTCAGCGTAAACAAAACAGGCTTCTTTTTTTCTCTCTCTCTCTCTCTCACTCGGGCATAGGGACCGGTCAGGGCCCCCGGGCATCTTGCCCACCCGAAGTTTTTTCAGGTTTCGGAGGCGTGAAAAACGAGCGTATCCCATCTCAAGACTAAAGTCATATAGTATACGTTATCGAATCAGAGATGGTCGTACACTCTCCACGGACACGTGCATGGTCACCTAATTTCCCCGGCTGCTTCAGGAAAGATAAAGTTGTTTCTGAAAGAACAGCTCATGGGAAATTCGGTCCCTCCAGGTACGGGTTCCCCCGCGAAAAGAGTCAAGTTATGACTGGAGCTCCCCCTTTTTGAGATTCGCAGATGTCTTGCCGCTTGCAGAGTAAACACTACATCAGTAAACGACAATGGTTCATGCACCACTCAGCAAGAAATTATCTCTGCGATCCCCCGAGAAAAGTCTCAGTGGCTACATTCAAGCAAAACAGAATATCAGCTAAAGCATCATATGACTTTTCAGGGGAGTTTCAATAGCTTGGGAGGTATTTGGCTCAACGACTGCACACTGCAGGATAATGATAAAAGTGTTTACAGCAATATGGGAGTTACCTTGTATGTCGATGTCGGAGCCAGCTTGCAACTACCTTCACGAAGGAGAGGCATATCGTACAGGAAAGGCTGAGCTGTTTTCCAGGGAACTTCCAGGAGAAAGCAGCAACAAGAAGCGAAGTAAAGGACAAATAACACAACATAGCCTACATCACTTTATTCAGTTCCCCTGGTCAGTTTTACAAGGTTGAATTGCCGGAGCTACTTGGTGGGAGCAGTTGTGACGTGATGCCGAAAGATTCCGTGACTACAGCAAGATTCCCCCGTCACATCTACTCTCTACCAAGAAAAGGGCGGTCGTGCGCATGGCAAGTGTTTAGTCCTCAAGGTACTACCATTCAACAAGAGAAACTAACCCCCGCAAGCTTTCAGATCAAGTTGTACACACTTGCCCATGTTGCAGCACTCATGTGTCCAGCTCGAAACAAAAAACCAAGAGGGCATTAACATAACAATCTGAACTGAACACAACTGCGAGCTTGACACACTTCTGCACGTCAGGTTCCCCCGCTCACATTCGGTGCTCAGACAGGACCGTGGCGTCCATAGAAGGCCCCATGTAGACGGCGCCGACGATGCTCCGCTGGGCTCTCTTCGCTGGCGATGTCTTCTGTTGGCGACATCGCAGCTTGAGGAGCATTCCCCAGTCCATGGTGTCGTTCTTGCAGCCACCATGCATGTTCCCCCTGCGACGATGAGCTGGCTCCACCAACTTGGTGGTTGGTGGTAGCCCCCTCCACTGCATGTCGAGGTAGTCCCCCGCCTGGTACTTCGGGTTCAGGAGGACCAGGTACTTCAGGGGCTCCCCCGCCTTCAGGTACAGCAGGTTGTAGAGCATTCTCAACAGCTTCCAAGGCATTCAGCAGTGCTCCGTGGACCCCATTTAGGTCCTCCCCCGGCCAGTCAGTTAACTGGCTTTGAAGGTCTGCCAGCTCACGGCATATCCCTCGTGCTCGTTGTTGACGTCGTTCTCTGGCTAGGTTGGAGTGCAGCGCACCACGGCTGGCTGCAATGACATCCGCGGGATGGGCTACATGTCCCCCGCTTTCCACTGCGAGAAGGTACGCCATGACGTCTGTGAGCTGCAACCAGTACTCCTGATTGCCGGGGTCCATTTGTACGCCCTGTAAGGCTCCCCCCATGTGTCGCATCACGGCCGCGGTGTTGTGGGAGCTCGCATGGAACTCGTTGAGTTCCCCCTCTGTTCGCCAGTTTTGAGGTTCGCCGCCTGCCGCGGTCGCCATGGCATGCATATGACCATTTAGCCACTCCAGAACTACATCGATGTCACGCTCGATATCGTAGTAGGTGATATACTGGTGGTTGTTGGCGGAGGCCAGTCGCTGCATTGCCTTATGCTTGATGCGAGTCATTGCTGTTGCTGCTTTGCTGAGGGTCTTGTCGACCCGTGCTTTTTTGGTCTGCGGCTCATCTGCTCTGGGAGGAGGTTCATCCCCCTGTTCAAGGTCTAAGTGCCGCAAGACCTCCGCCTCAGTCTGACTATCGACGAGCAAGTCAGAGAGGGCGCACTGAGCCATGTGGGCCACCATGGTTCCCCCTGGCAACTGCTGTGCGAGTCTGTAGATTCGTGTGAGGTAGTGTTCGAGGCGCTCGGTCGTGCTGCTTGGCAGCAGTGTGTCGGTCATTGCTACGACTTGTGTTGTTGGTGGTAGAGGTGGTGGTGGTTGTGGCTGTTGCGCTTGCTCCCCGCTGTCCGGCACAGTTTGTGCCACTGCTTCGGGAGGGGGTGGTTGGTCTGCTTGGGCTTGGCCCCCCTGCTGCAGTATTTGAAGGATGTTACGTTGCATCAGGTCCATCGCCTCGGAGTCTTCTGCTGCAGTGGTGGTGGTGCTTGTCGTGCGGGTGTCTTGTGTCGTAGAGATGTCGCTTCTGTTACGGGGGTTTGTCGCCACAGTAGTAGTTGTGGTGGTGGTTGTCCCACCGGTGGTTGTGGTGGTGGTGGTGGTGGTAGTTGTGGTTGTGCGCCCCTTCTTTTTGCCTCCAATGTCCCGGCCATCTCGGACTTGGGCGAAAGGGTCCTCTCGTGGTGTACTGGGGTTGTTCTCTGGCTCTGGCTGCGGCGGAGGTGGCTCGGGTGCTTGGCCACGTTGTTGTTGCCCGCGTGTTCCCCGGAGGTCACGTTTGTCAACGAAGGGGGCTTCCTCGCGGGGCGGCTTGGGTGGTGGGGGTTTGGCTTTGCCGGCTGGTTGCTCGCCCGTGGTTTTGTCAGTGGTTCGGGGGCGTGATTTCTGCCTTGCTGTGGGTGGTGGGTCTATGACGTCTTCTGCGAAGTGGACATGCCTCGAGTCGGTGGAAGTTTTGTCAGCTGTGTGTGGTGGTGGTTTGACTGGGTCGGTGGAGCTGCTTGCAGGGTCGACCCCCCGGGGTGCTTGTGGTGGGTGTTGCTCCTGGCCAGTGGGGCTCGGCTTCGAGGTTTTCCCCCTGCGAGTTTCGCGAGCAACTGAGTCCACTTGTTTGTCTACTCGCATTTGCCAGCCAGTAGACGAGAGGGTGAGGACGAAGGAGTCCCCCTCCACAACAAACATGCTTTCGGGCCAGAACTCGTCGAGCATGGGAAGGCTCGTGATCATCAGCAGCCACGTGTCGGGTGGCCCCATGGGGGCTAGTCGTCCGATTGTTCCCACGGGCAGTGGTGGTGCTGTGAGGACTGGTCCCGTCTGCCCAACATGGACCATGTGGAGTGGTGGCAGGCCTGCCGAGGAGGTGAGTGGAGTTTCGATGTAGTGTTCAGCGCTGATGGTGAGTTGCCAGCAGCCGTTTGTCAACTGTGTGTAGCTGACCGTTGTGCCGTGCGCATGGGGGATGCTGGGTGGTGGTTCCACGTCGATGTCTCCTGCTGGAGCGTTGTCGTATTGCCATTGCTCGAGTTCTGTGTACTGGTGTCGTGGCGGGTTTTGGTCCCCCGTGGAGGTGGTGGAAGGTTGTGCTGGTGGTGGTTTCGGCTCCCCCGATGCAGGGTGGGCGGGTGGGACTGCAGTGCTGCCCCCCTGGGCTCGTCCGAGAAATTTGTCCATCGCCTCCTGGAATTTGGCTTCGGCAGCTGTGTCTGCTTTGGTCCCCTGCGGCTGCTGTGGTGTAGTGTGGCCCTGGGCTGCGGTGCGTGCTTGTTCAGCGAGGATGCCCCAGCCTGGGCCTCGTTGTGGTTGTGGTTCAGGTCGAGTCACTTGCTCTCCGGCCCATTGGCGCTGTTTCAGCACGTGTTTCCCCCGCTTATTGCCCAGTCTTTGAGAGCCGTGCCCAGCGCCAGAAGTGCGACTGGGTTTTTCCCTGCCGGTTGCTTGCCCCCATCCCGGTCTTTCCCACGGGGGAAGCTTGTTGTCATCTGTGCCATTGCTCGGGCTGGGGCTTTGACTGGTCTGCCCTTCCTCTGGGGTGTCGTCGGTAGTGATGTCACCAGGTGTCGTGAACTCTCGTGGTGGTCGTGGTTGGATAAACTCTGGGGGGGGTTGTGTCCCCCTGTTGCGTGGTGGTGGTGCTTGTCGTGGGGGTGTGTGTTGCAGTGGAGGTGGAGGTTTACTGCATGATGCTTCCACGGCTTCCTGCTCTGCGGTCTTGGCTTTGGGTGTAGACGGTGGCTGTTGGTGGGACGATGCCCCCTGTGGATCCTGTCCTGTTGTTTGGACAGTGTGTTGTGGTTGTGTGCTCGCAGGAGTGGCAGTTGCTGCACCTTGGGTTTGGCTGGGACGTGCAAGCTTGCTGTCTGGTGGGTCGTCCTGCGGGTTGTTCCAGGGGTCGAAGTCCCAGTCGTATTCCCCGAGGCGCTGAGTGGGTGCCTCCTGTCGGGTCGTGGCAGTTGTATGTGTCTGTGGTGTGGTTACGGCAGGCTGTGCAGGAATTGCCTGCTGTGGATATTGCTGCTGACTGGCAGTTGTCCCCCACTGTTGTGGAGCACGTGGGGTTCCAGGTTGGGTGGCAGGCTGTTGGGGGGGTGCCTGGTGTGGGGGGTGGCATGCTTGTCCCCCGATTTGGTATGCCGGTGGGGGGAAGTAGCTTTGCATCGGGGGCGGCTGCGCCTGGTTGTGACCGGTACCTGGGGAGGGGTATGTTGTCCAGCCACCCCACGATGTGACGTAGCCGGTCGGGGTCAGATGTGTTGCCGTCCATGCCACCTGAGCCGGCTGCTGATTGGGTGCCCAGTGCTGGGATTGCCATGGTGCTTCGGGGGGGCTGACATGGGCCGCCGTGGTGTCGTTGTGTTGCTGGGTCCCCCGTGTCGTGTCGCTGGCTGCAGCAGGGTTTGGTGTTGGGTCAGGTATGTCCGTGCCCGGGGCCGGCTGCGAGTCAGGGGGGAGTCTGAAGGGGGGCGGGTTCCCCCGTGGGGTGTCCCCCACAAAAGAAGTGCTGCAAGGAGGATGCGAGGCATCTCTCTCGGTGGATGTCGACTGTACTGCTTTGCTTCACTGCTTGTGGCTGTGTTCTGCTTGGCAGCGATTGGCTTCCACCAAAACTGGATATATATATATATATATATAAAGAAGAGTGGTTGGTCGCGAATTTGATGTGTGTAGTCATGTTCGAGCAAGAGCGAAGGCATCGGATTGTCTCCATCATCCCTCAACTGCAGGGTGGCACAAGCTTGCACTCCATCGGACTCGTTCTCACATGCACTGCAGCTCATTCACGAGTTCGGAGGGTGTGCTTGTGACATGCTGTTTGTTGACGAAAAGACCTTCACAAGAGTGTTGTTGTCGCTTGAGGTCCTACTTACGGGCTGGCTTGCTTCGTTTGGGCTTGGCTGTCTTCCCCCTGTGCTGGGCTGCCTTCGTTGTTCGCCTGTCGCTGATGCTCCGGAGATAAGCTTGGTCTTGGTCCCCCGGGGGAGGCGGTGCGAGGTTGGCAATGCTCCCTTGCTTCCCGCTGCTCCAAGGAACATCGTATCGTGCAATGAAAACTGCTTCATGCTCTGCCCAGGCCTCTCTGTTCTGGGCAATCGAAAAGCAGCCTTTTCCGACGGTTTCACTCAGCTGGCGGTCGATGTCCATGTATGCATTGAAACGATGTGCATGTTGCACGTCGATCCCCCGGTCCTTTTGTTCCTGCCACCATTGTAAGCTGTGCCACTGGAAGATCTTTCCCCCGACTGGGTCTCCCCTGCATATATGTCCGACAGCTGTCCAGATCTGTGACAGAACGAAGGTTGACCATCGTGTTCCCCCGTGGTGGTAGAGGGCCAGGCGGCTTCGTCGGAGGCTTCTTTTGTTCCACGTTGCCCACTCTTCGCATGGCTGGCGCCTCAACCCCAGCATGGTTCGTATCTGGGAGAGTTGGATGGCATTCACTGCTCGTAAGAGGCTGCTGTGGCAAGGCCACGTCTGGCAGGCCCAGAGGGCGCTCTGCCTGACCAATACAACGTGAATCTGTAGTTTCTGTCGGAATGTGGCATCGGATGTGAAGCTTTCACGGTGCGACCAGAAAGCCTTCCTTGCTCGCGTTTGTGCCTCCGCCAGCAACATCGCTGTTCCCCCTTGGAACGAGAGGGGGCTGCCGAGGACGTAGAAGGCATGCTCGGGTCCCTTAGTGGCGACAATTTCCCCGGCCACCTTAAAGGTGGTGGGTTTTTCCGACGTGCTGATGATGTCCGTTTTCTCCGGGTGCAGGAAGAGGCCTCGTCGCGGAAGTCGGTCATGGAGGGCACTGAGCATGAGTTGGAAGTGTCTTTTGTTCACCGACCAGATGTAGTTGTCGTCCATATAGCTTCCCCCATCTTCAGGAGGAGCATCTTCTCCGGCAGGTTTCGCTGACTTTGCAGTACGGATAGCTGCATCCAAATCTTCCGCCACTACTGCTCCGAAGGCCACGGGGCTTTCTGGTGCCCCTTGGCGAACACCATTGCTTTGCCGAAGGGGGATAGCTTCCCCTGCCACTTCGACTGTCAACTGTTGGGCATGCAACATAGCTACCCATGCTCGAGCTTCCCATGGCAGGTCTGCTTTTCCCCCTACGATAGAGGCAACGTGCTCGGCGAGGCTTTCTTGGTAGATGGAGTCGAAAGCCTTGCGGATGTCCAACTTGGCAATGTAGAACTCCAGGCCCCAGTCTCTGGCAGCTCTAGCCAGTCGCCTCAAAATCATGATGAGCTCTATTCCTTGTCTCCCTCGTCGGCACCACTGGAGTCGCGCGGGTGTCTGGATCGCTTCCCCGGCTCTGCGAAGAAGTAGCTGCCCAAAAGTTTTGAGCATGACTGAGCTGAGGGTAATAGGTCGAGTCTCCCCCCAGTTGGAGGGCTGGGTAACCTTAGCCAGAAGTATGGTGACCCCGGCTTCGATACTCGGCACAATACGGGCCGTGTACAGCATGTCGTTGAAGACCGACAAGAGTCGTTCCCCCCAAATTGGATGTGGGAGGATGGCTTTCAATGCCTCATGCGAGACCATGTCAGGTCCACACGACTTCCCATTTCTCCACTTGGCCTTGATCTCTTGCAGGTCCTCGATGGTGAAAGGCTCCCACTTCTTGAATTTGCAGGCTAGGGTGAGCTTGTCGAAGATCTCTCGTATTCTCCGGGCAACAGTCTGGCCATCCTGTCTGTTGAAGATCTTCTCAAAGTGTTCGCGGAGTTTTTGTCGCCAAGACTCATCTTCCGTGAGTGCAAGTTCCCACGAGTGATCACGGGATTGTTCCAAGAGCGCTTTCTTCATCCCCCAGTCAAGCTCTGCGACTTTCTGCATCGCCAATTTCTTCCACTGTTTGTGTTCAGCCAGGTGCAGACGTCGGGCGTGCTTCCAGAGGGCACGTCGTCGTTCCCCCGGGGGGCTGACGAGGGCTTGCCGCCGAATTTCTCGTAGGTGTGCACTTTCGGTAAATGGCACCTTCCTTTTCCCTGGCTTCGTGATAGCGACAGCGACCTTCTGCAGTTGTGTGACGGGGTCACCCCCAACACCGACTGCTTTGTCGAGGATTCGGTCCACTTGTCCCCCCTTGAGCAGTTGCCGTGCAGACCATACTGCAGGGTCTCGCGCCTTGCTTGTGGCCAGACGAATCTGTGCCAGGGGAACGAAGACTGGCTCGTGGTCGGAGGTCGCGACATCACGCTGGGCCAGCACATCCCCCGAGTCACACAGCAATCTCTTAACAAAGATGTAATCAAGTCTGCGAGGGAGGAGCTCTGTGTTGTAAGGGTAGTGGCTTGCTTTCTGGAGCTCTTGTGATGGCAAGTGAAAGCATTCCTCATCAAGCCAGTCCAAAAGGAGTTCTCCACGGGCTGTCGCTGCTTTAATTTGCTTGTTCTGGCTTGCACAGGTAAAGGTTTCGTTAGCATCAATGCCGATGATCGCTTTGCCGTGGTATGCTGTGTGGGTGTGTAACTCTTGCAAAATTTGCTCTGTAACTGAAAGTGTGGCATGGTGTGGGATATGAACTGAAAAAGCTCCCAACCTGAAGTCTGAAGAAGTGAGTGTGCACGACAGGGCACCTTGCAGGATCTTTCCCCGGGTGTGCTGCATGTTGGCGGTGTGCACAACGGCGTTTCCCCGCCAGTCCTCGGAGCGTTTGCCGAAGATCATCTGCAGGTCTTCCAGGGATGCATGTTGTTTCCCCGTCTCGCAGATCACCTCTTGGATCATCACGATCATGAATTCGATGTCGCCGGAGTGCAAGAAGGACATCCAGTGCTTTAGCAGAGGTGAGCCCCCCAACATTCCAGCTAATCACATGCACTTTGAGCAGCGGGCCACCAGCGAGAGTCGTTGCCCGCTCCGTTCGCCTCTTTCAGGCGAGAGCTTTGCGCAGGTCCCCCCATCGGGAGGTGGCAGTCTCCTCCGAGATGCCGATTTGGCGAGCCAAAGTGCCGAGATGGACCCATCCTGCTTTTTCGGCGGTCGCACCTTCGGGTGCCGAGGTCACCCCCGATGCAATCTTCACAGTGTTGTACCACAAGTTGGCGGTGCCGTATTCGACCTCGATTTTCCGCGGGTCTCCGCCTTCTTCGATGATGAAGCGTTTGACTTTCCCAGCTAACTGTGCTCGTCGGCGTCTTTCGGGGCTCTGGCTGAGGGCCGCGAAGAAGTAGCGGTTCCCCCCTTCTGGCCGCTGTCCTGTGACGATTTTGGCTGCCCTCACGGTTCGGAGTATTTCTTGGACTCGGGCTCTTTGTTCGTCGTCGCTCTCCCCCTCGAGCTTTGTGAGGGGGACCAGGGCGAATCCCCGGCGAAGTCCAGGTACGAAAGCCTTATCAACATCGAGGTTCACGTTGAGTTCGCTGAGGTGCTGCTTCACGAGCTTAAGGGTATCCTCATGATGCTGGTCGGCTTCCCATCCCCCGACCACGAGGGCGGGTCTGGGGTTGCCCCCGTCGGTCTCCGAAGTACGGGTGCTGGAAAGCGAAAAGGTCGCTTTTGCAAACTTGCCTTCGAGGAGTTCGAGTCTCTGCAGCATCTCCCCCTGGCGATTGTCCACTTTTCGCACGCTCTCCTCCATGGCACAGTGTCGGTCCGTCATGGCCTCAAGGAGTTTGGTAGTGTTGCCGACATGTGTTTCGACTGTGAGTTCAACAGTGTTGACCCTATTCGCTAGGCTGTCCATGTCCTCGCGAACCTGGGCCACAATCTCTTCGCGGTTGTCTTTCAGGGCCGCCAGAAGAGTGCTGAGGGTCAAAGGCTTTTCCCCCTCTTCGTCATCGGCCTGTGCGGGTCGCTTCCTCCCCCCGCCAGGATGAACACCTCCAGGATCTCCCTGCATAGGCGAAGTTGGCGATCTTGTCGTCCCTGCCATTACTCAGTCAGGTAGGTGCACTTCTCCCTCACCCAGTATGCAAGTAGTAGATCGGCTTCGTGTCGCTGTCCCCCGCCCACGTAGGTTCGCCGATTGCCTCAGAGAAGAGGTTTGACGATGTCCCGAATGTGCGGCGTGTGGCCACCGTACTGGAGCAAGGCCCCCGATGTCGCGGTACCGAAAGTGCAAGGTGGACGCGCGTAGTGCAACAAACTTGCCCGTCAACACAATGGCACACTCACAGCACAGCTTCTCTCTCCTCTCTCTCCTCACGGAGTTCCCCCCAACTACAGTTGCTCCCCTGTCTCTCTCACGGGCTCGGGGCTCGAACCGCTCACGGCTTGAGCCAAAATCTCTCTCTCTCTCTCTCTCTCTCGCTCTCTCCATGCTGTCCACCTGAAGTGAAGCATCGCGATGAAGAGCGCGCAACTACACACGGTACGGTCCGTGTGTGAGTGCAGCGAAACCTTGGACTCCCCTTTTTCCCATCCGAGCACTTTCGCAGAGACGAGAGCATCCTGTTGGTTCAATGATGTTCGCCACAATAACATTACTCTGGGAATCTCTGGCTTTTCAGAAGGCGAACATCCTCGTGCACCTACTCACAACCTACATCGCAGCTACTCCAGCAGCACGTTGGACTAGGTGCCTCGGAAAACAAGGCCTACATCGCTAGGAGGATCAGGAGGACACTGATTTCGACACAGCTGTGCTGTGGTTTTGGCACTTTTGCTTCTTCCGGCATACAGTGCCCACATTCCTAATAATGCCCAGCTGCTGCATAAGAAGGCTGGCTTTTCGCGGCACGCCTTCTAATTGCAAGTCCCTCCATTGACACAGGATCAAAGAGCCAGCTCCTGCACCAACGCATCTCGCATCTGATGGGAAAGAAGTACAAGTACCATTGAGCAACCAAGTAGGTTGGCTGAGCCCCAATCTCGTCAAACACTTCGCGACAGGTCGGCGGTCCATCAAAGGGACTGCTCGACGGCGTCGCATCCTTCGATCCTCGTCCTTCTCAGAGAGTGCCTAATGTGGCCTAGTGGCTACTTGCTGCTCACTTGTGGAGACCTCACGGGGACAAGTAGCACAATACGTTTCGCAGGCCATGCCTGGGCAAAGGTAAGCGAATGCCTCGTTCCCTACGCTCAGGTGCGTGCAGCAGAAAGCCAGGGTGTTGCCGTGCATCGCCTCAGCCGGTCTTGCGCAGCGCCCTCGCTGTGCAAGCCAGGTGCCGTGGACAGTAGGACACCGACAAGAGATTGCGGTTGGTGTTTGACCCTCCCGAATGTGCAGTTGTCTGCATCAGGAACGTGATGAAGACATGGGCCCTTCACATCGCCCGTGGCTAGGATTGCTTCAGCCCTCTTGGGCAGGCTCTGGGTTTGGGTATCGCGCTTTTGTAACTTGCACAGTATTTGGAATGCCTGGAACCTGTGAACAGTTGCTATGTCAGGGACAGGGAGTTGACCGCGCAGAATTGGAACGCAAGCAGAGAGAGCATGCCGGTGCGGCTGGAAAGCTTGAGGAAGCAGAAATTGCATTGTAAGTGCTACAAGTCTCCCTGCTGGATTTTTGCCCTGGTGCATGCTTGACAAAACAACTCGACAAGGCAAGTGATAAGAAACTCTCAGAGCATGGGTGTAGCTCATGATGTCCGGAATATTTCCACGTGGCTTGAGACTGTAGCCTGTCGGCGGCCAGGGATACCCTGCAAATCATAAACCACCACATCCAAAGTGGCTTGCATGCGCATCTCTGCCGATTTTGCTGCATATCACTGCATGCTGAACTAACTCTTTCAAAAAGCATCGGGAGCGTTTTCAGGAGAGTTTCAAAGTTAAAGTCAACGGAAGACGGAACTTCAGGTTAAACTCTACAATAATCAGCCCCAGCTGAAATCGGCCGAAACCGCGAGCTTCAACCACAAAGACTGAGGACCCCAACTCCCGAAAATGCTGCGTCCAAGAAGCTCATTTATCCGCTGATTCGCTGACACTCTTCGTCGAGAAATTGGGAGATTTGTGCCTCAATATCATCCCGCAGCATGAGGCCATGTCATGGTGTCTTCTACATGGTCAGAGGTTACAGTAGCAGAAAAACACGAGCTGCAATAAGGACCGACAAACGCAATGACACAGCTGTAGCCCTGAACGATCTCCCGACAAGCAAAGGCCTCTGTGCACCCGTACAGCAGCCGTGCTCGCGCATGAAGCTATGAAACCGTTGAGGATCCGACACAAGTTTGGATCTGCGCCTGACGCTGCCTTTGCAACGCACCCGAATTATGCAAAGTTCGGCTGTCACAGTTGCGCGAGCGCTTGATGACTTCGCTTCAACAGACGCGTTCGGGCGCACCCCCTTTCCCAGGGGCCCAGGAAGCTGCGGTTGACCAGAGGCACGGTCCTGGGCTGTGGGCACTGTTGAGAGAAGTAGGCTGAGCACCGTTGAACCATTGGACCATTGGACCATGCCTTTGGGCCGAGGGCTTCACGCATTCGCCCTGAACAGCGGTGGCCAACCCTTGTCCTGGCATTATCCGCACCACCGACTCACAGCAGAGGCGCGAAGCGACAAGCGACGAAAAAAGAAAGGCCTTTAAGTCTCGCTCGAAGCTCCAGTACCAGACCTGCAGCGCGCTCAAACCGACACTGCCTGCCGATGTCCGCAGGCCAAGCAGGCAACTGAACTTGGTTCGGCACGGGTTTTCCAGATTCTGGCTGCTGCCCAAAAGCCTGGAACATGCGTCGAAAAGGCAGGGCGTCGGCGAGCAAGGACAGTCACAAGTCAATGGGCTCTTGAAAAACCACATGAGCATCTGCTGCCACTGTGAACACTTCGACATGCATCATGCACAGACACCACGAAATTTCCAACGATATCATGCTCCTGCTTAGATGCATAGCACCGGCACCCCACACATACACAGCAGTCTCTGTATTCCAAGAATAGTCAGCACGACCTGTTGAAGGCGATCTTGCACCTGAACATTGGCTCGGGAGCGTGCCACATGAACCTAACAATCTGATTTCTTGTTTTCTGTAGTTGGGCTGCCCTGACACCCCTCTGCGTGCAGCGGAAATGGGAGCCATGGAGCTGAGAGCAGAGGCTGAGGCGAAGACCCTCAAGATGAAGGTCTGCTCTGCGAGGGACTTGTCCCCGCCTAGTGCCAGGCTACTCGTGTAGGCATCTGCCTGACCCCATCCATCGTATGGACTCGAATCCCAAACACTAACCTTCGTCTACACTTCTATCGGGGTAGAGCAGAAGACAGGTGCAGCCTGTGATGCATGTTGTCTCTTCTCTTCGGGCCACACAGGGCCTTCGTTGAACCCTGCTTTGCTTGAGAAATGCTACTTCAGGGAGCTACCCAGATCTGAACTCTTGTTGTATAGACATCTCTGCACTCAGTGTTATCCAGTCACAGAATCCCGCCTTCCTGCAGATTGTCATCCTTGTTCCAGCATGCGCTAGGTTCTGGAATGTCCTTTGCACGGCATTCTCTGCGCATGCGAAGATCTCGACATCTCACACGGTCCGGACATGCAGGTAGGAGCCGTTGAAAAGATAAGCACTATTATGAGCATGCCATGTGTTTCGACTGAACGATTCCCTGAAGTCATGCACCGATGCAGAAGGCATATGATGTGCAGTAGCATCGGGGCCGACATTCACAACTCCAAGGCCGCAAAAAGCCTGATGAGTGCCCCTCGACGTGCCTGTGCAACTGCCTTGACGTAGCTGGTGTCAGGCTCGAACTTCTCCTCGGACTCTGGCGCTCTCAGAAGACTTGCGAGCGAGACCAGAACGACGGTCCTCGTATCCGGGGCATTGCAAGTACCACAGTACCCTGCGAGCAGCATCTTCGTAAGCCTCCTGCAACGCAACAGTGCGAGAGAGAGAGAGAGAGAGCGCGAGATGGATGCTATGACATACCGATGAATTGCTAGCGGAGGCTCGGTGAAATGATGCCACAAGACCAACGGATACCAGAAAATCCATGCCTCTCACTCAAATGCACAGGACAACTCCTCCTGGGTGGAGTGTCTCTTGCTAGGGAATGTGTGCGGCACCTGGCCAGCATGACGACTCGCAGACATGCTTTTCGCGTGTGGTCCAGTACCATGTACCGTGCGCATACTGAGTTCCATGCGTCCAGCAGACGAACTTCAGCGAAAGCCTGACAAAGTCCGTCCTCCCACCTGACAGGATGTGGTCAAACCACACTCTGTGTCATCTCGCTGCTGAGCCACCCCCGAGCCACGGAGTGTCACGCAGGCACGTGGAGACTTTCGTTCCATGATGGGCTTCCGGCCGGTGGCTCCAGCTAACCGCGGCAGGACAATCCCAAGAGAGCCTGCATGCTCGCGAGGGGCTTTTGCCACATATCCAGCAGCTTCCAGGCGAAAAGAAAAAGCAATATGCAGCAGTGCAAATTTCCCCGGTTGTGGTCACTTGACAAACATTCAACAATGTGCAAGAGCTGGTGCTATCTTGACGTGCCTTTGGCAAAACTTTTCCAACAGCTCCACCTCGCATGCCAGGACGGCCGTGCAAGGTGGCAAAGGACGCCCAAAGTGGCATCTATGAAGTACTCGCAAGACGCAACATGGCACCCAGATCACGCATTCTTCGACACCAGGCTAAGATTCCTCTTTCCTCAACGAACGCCCTCGAGACTTGAAACCGGAGCCTCGCTTCGAGCTTCGGGCAGCGGGTCCTGGTCACGAGTTCCTGGCGATGTGAGTGCTTGAATTTCAAGTGCATACCAGGATTCCAGGACCGGGTGGCTGCGAATTCCCGCGACTGGAGGTTTCGTGCTGAGCTACTCCTTTGCAAGTTGCTGGAGTCCAACACTTTCTCTGTCGGAGACACGCTGCAGAGTAGCCTGAGGATGTTTGAATCCTCTTTCTTCCCTTTCACAGCACAGTCGAGACAACTTCAAAGTGCTCGCCAACCCGCGCCTGCGAGCTCATCCAAGGTAATCAGCGAGGCCCATC